CTTAGCAAATTTCTTCCTCTCAAGAGGGGGGCTTATCAGAGGGGGTGACTTATAAGAGGGGGGCTTGATAGAGGGGGACTTAGCAAATTTCTTCCTCTCAAGAGGGGGGCTTATCAGAGGGGGGTGGCTTATAAGAGGGGGGGCTTAATAGAGGATTTACGTTGTTCAAACTTAGCTCTGCAAATAATACTGTATTTGATCAGGTATTACAAGGAAATTAACTGCGTAGGGATAAGCAACACGATTGAAAAATAAACCCACGTTTAATGGAAAGTTAATGCCCGTGAATCGTCGTGAAGCGTGCGAAACCACACCTGCATTACACATCTAGGTGTGGTTTTATTGGCCAATATATGCAGCATTTTTGTAACCTTTAGGAAGTTAGTGGATACAAAAAACAGAACGTGTGATGTTGAATTATAAAGTAAGATTTGAGAGAAAGTATACAGTTCAAGATTGTTGAACCAACGTGAAAGGAATTTATTTCTAACCAAAGATGGAAACTATGCGAGATTGTGTGACGATTCCGAATTTGTATTCGTTTCCCAACATTTTATCCTCTGGAGAAAAGAAATTATTGGTATACCGTCCCACCTATATGTCAAGATGCAGCCAATTTTGAAATTGACCTAGAGCGCATTAGTGATAAAAAGTCTTCAATTGTCTCAAACTTGTGTACGTAGAGTACAGAAACAATCTTAATCTTGGAAGCTTTGAAAAAAATTGGCTTATAGCTTTACCTCGAAAAGTTCTGGGGTCCATAAGTACTCTGATTCCAAACACGTTGACACTTGAATTTTGTCAACAGCTGGCAAAAATCCCTGAGGCGCAAAATAGATATAGAACATAATTTTAGATATTTGTTTAGGCCGCTGTCAGCTTTTCCCTAAGGCCTTTTTAAAAAGAGCGGATTATCTAAATCAAGCGAGTTCATTAAAGAAAATATATAGTGTTAATCTAAGTTACACCGGAAACAGCGTCAAACTAAAAACTTTTTCCTGTCTGCATGTTTTAAATCGCTTTTTTTGATTAAATAATCAAATAAAGCGACTTGAAACATAAGTAACAAAACCGATCTGGGAGTCAGAATTATTGCCTTGTGAACATATCGTATCACTATAATAATGAAAACATTTTTTTCTTTGTTCCTTTTTCTTTGGTAATATTGGGATGATTTACCACAATTTCCATTACTTTATTCAGTGTGGATATTCTTTTGTTGAATTCCTTAGTGTAATGTTTCCGAAGCAGGGGGGAAACATGAGCATTATTGAAATTTGATTTTTCTCAGACTTCTGTCAGTTATCATAAACAACTTCGGGGGTATCTCAAAGGCTTTTGTTAGCTAAATCAATGTTCAGAACTAGGTTTCTTTTTCTCCTTTTAATAAATTTTAACCACCTTTCTCTTTTAATCCGAATGGTAATAGCATTCATAAGAAATTAGTTAGTAGCCAACAAGGTTGAAAAGCGTCTTTAAGAAATCCTTGCAATTATAATCAGCTATCAGGAAATGCCTTTCTTTGTCAGTTTTCCAACTCAAGACGCACCTCTTGTGAACTAGAAGCTCTCATACGCTATCTTTAGTGGTTGTGGACTACAATGTAAGTATTTTAATGGAACCGCTGGCGTTTGTTAAGAGGATATTATTTCTTTAAAAGTGTGCATACTTGCTGTCAAAAGAAATAGGAAAAAAAAGAAAAAAGAGAAAGCTTTTGCTACTTTGGACACCGTGCACCTCTCGAACTTATCTTTATGGCCAAATATTACTTTATTCTTCTCTCTCTCTCTCCTATTTTTCATATAAATATTAACTTCCATTAATAGTGTGAAATGAATAAAAGTTCAAAAAAAGCAGCCGAATCCCAAACTGCCGGACGTTTGAATTGTTGGCTTAATTGTGATCCACTGTGATACTATTGCTTTGCGATGACTTTGTTACAAAAAAAAACCATACATTCCTAGTTGTGATCATCCCCAAGTTTAAAAAATGGAACTTCTGAGTCGAGAAATAAAGTCGTGCAACCTTTGACGCAAAATTTGATTACATTAATGCCAATTCTTATCTCGTACGCTCGAGGAAGGGAAATTCGAACCCACTTTATTAATTGGTGGCTATAGCGTTACACTTGGCGACACTAACTTATTTTTTTAGCTAAAAATATTAGTTTACTTCTTTTTGAACGTATATATCTTGGTTTAGTTAATTTCATCTTCTTCAATCCATATAGAACTCAAGCACACTGTGTGATTTTAGATTCCATGTAAGCGCTCAACCATTAAAAGAATTGATATTCAAGATACTTTTTGAGCAACAGAGCACTTGAATGTGAGGTTAAAAGCAAACGTATTCGGTGACATAAGTGTTCTAAAATGATGTGTTTCTTGCTCTCCTTCATAGAGTAAGGGCACTCAAATGTTTGAAACGTTTAGGAATTTCTCGAAAAAAAATTTATCGCCCTATTATACCATAATAACAAAGTAGATTTTGTCTTGCCATAGTAAATTAAAATCTCAGCTTCAGTCTAATTTTTATTATAATTATCATCAACTTTTCCATCAGCGGGAGAAAAAGGACAACCGAATAAATCTGAATCAAGATCAACTTACTCTTTTGAAAAGCTTGGGAATTGCATTCTTTAAGAATAACCTTTGAATCATTTTATTAGATATAATAAATTATCAAGTTTTGAATTTTTAATTAAATTTGAGAACATCCTTAAGCCGACTCCAGTACACTCAAAAAGTCAGCTATTATCGATTTACTGACTCTGCCGAAGCGGGCAGGTAATCTAAAAATTATAATAAAAAAAGCAATAAGGTTAAATAATGCAGCTCTACCTGCTAAACCTAAGAAATAAGAAATTTAATTCATAAATCGACAGACATTGGGGAACTTTTTCCCTCCTCAACAATGACACCATTTGCTTAACCTTAGCCAAAAAAGCATATTTATATCTACCTAAACAGCTCGAAACTACAGCGCTAGCTAAGACAGTGTTATTACTGATCATGAAAGCATGTCGGCGTTCTCTTTACTTTGATTCTATCCCGTAGGCACATCGACGGATCTATTTATTACTTTTTAACGATATCAGAACATCGACAAATATTCCTAATCAATCCTTTCACTGACAACAGAAAAGATAGAAAATGTTTTACTTTGGACATTAAAAGGCGGAAGTCCACTTTTAAGTGAAGATCATTTGATAAACCCGAGAGATCACATTAAAGGCAAACTTAATTAAGAATACACAATTACAGTCAATTGCTTTTTTTTACCTCTTCTCTGAAGGCTGACGGAACTGAATTTTTGAATTCATTTTAATTATACTTTCTGAAAGTGTTGACAGTTCAAACTGCATCAGGCTAAAAGGAGCTTAGGAAAATCGAATTTGGAATTACTCAAATTGAAAATCATGTCTTTTATTGGCTCAAAGCTGGCCTAAGAAAGGTAAGGCTGTTCAAGGGAATGAAATTCTCGATAAACGTCTCCTTGATCTTGAAGAACTGAAGCAATCAACATAGGGTGTTTTTTTTTATGTGTCTATTGTCATTTGACGATGAATATTCCTTCTTTTCGAAATTCTCTTTGCTTCTATGGTACACTGACACCACATAAGATCAACTATGGTTTTTAATTCCCCATTTCTACTGAAAAAGAGACTAAGTGGCAGACGTCGGTCATGATTGGAATGGGAATTACTAGTTCGTAAATTTACAATTAAAGCGGAGATGCAAAGCTTTCTTTCTATATCAGGTGTTCTTTTAGTTTTGGTTTCGTGACATAAGTCACTACTAACCGAAAGTAGTTGGAAATGATTATTTGCTTTACGATAATTAATTATAACTTGCCATGGTCTTTTCATTAAATAATGTTTGATTTCAGACGTCGCATTTTAACAGGAGAAAGAAAACATTTTTCTCAGCCAAAATAAATCGTCTCTAATTTTGAATATGACTTTTCATGGTGTTCGTGGATACTGTTTGAAGAGTACAGTTAGCTCTTAATTGTTTTCTAGAGATCTTTGCTAAATCTATGGTTTTTTCTCGTGACTTATGTGATATTCGCTGGGGAGTGTATATGCATAGGATGAACACCACTTTTAAAATCAAATTCATACTTTTCGAGTCGTTTCATCTCATTGCAATTCATCCCCACTCCAACAACGTCATAATTTGTGCGAGCGTTGTCATTACGTCCTGTATGAGTATTATGTTTGTGTCATTTATAAAGGACTCTTTCAACTCTAAATTACAGTTTTTACCTGGTTGACATCCTCAAACGCACAAAAAAAGAAGTGCTAAAAAAGAGGAAAAATCTGGCACCGGATGCATCTCATGTAATTTCGAATTCGACTGCACGTTTCGGTGCTGCGTGCGTGCCTCAAAGTCAATTTTATCAATTTTTTTTAAAGATTTACTTGATGCTAACTGCCTACATCAGTTAAACCTGAGAAAACAGACATGATTTACCTTAGATTATCAATATTACTTTCCGTTCACGATCTATTTGACATTTTCATAGGAGGCCTGATAAATCAAATACTGCGCGACACTACAGGTGGGAAAATTCTTGTCATGAATATGCTCGCAACAACAACAATTTAAGAAAGTTCAGTCTTATTTCAACTCGCACGTATCAGAATAACTTCAGAATGCTACCATTGCTTTTCTAGGCCTTTTTTTTATTTATATGCAATCGATCAGTTTATTTATTGTTAATTTTTGATGATTTTTTTTTAAAGAGTTGTTGCATTTAGTTTTCGGGTAAGGGTCACGACCCATCTTCTCTCATAAAGTCTTTGCTTAAGGTAAAATATCCTTACAACTATTTGTCTTTCCAAAAAAGTTTTATTTTACTTTAAAACTGACTAATCTCTATGATAAGGATTTCTATGCTTTGTAGAAGGACCATTGTTTTGGGTTTTGTCCATTTCTTTGTACTTTGCATTTGGTATATTTTGTTTCCTGCATTGAACTAACTCTTGGGTCGAATTGGAAACTATGTTTATCTTGCTAAAAAATTATTTCTTGGCGTTATATTGGCTGAACCCAGAAAAATTATATCGTCCTATGAAAACTTCATGTTTCTTTTTTACTGACTGATTTTATTTGTTTCTTCTTTAATAATTTTGTTTTTCTTTTATGAGTGCCCATATTTTTCCATAGAATATATTCATCTTTGAATGAGTCCACTTGGCTTAACACCGGGTTCGTGTTATCTCAGGCACTCGAGCTATTCAATTACTTCACCAGATGTGACTCGTGCGCTTTTCCTACCAATCTGTGCAGGTGTGCGGAGACACAGAAAGCCATAGTAAAACGAAGCCGGTTTACGAGAGACATGCAGGGGAGGATATATTTATGGCGATAATTGCATATCGAAGCTTCAAATCTTTCACATTTCACAAAAATACCCCTGATAGCCATAAAACATCTTTTTTTTTTGAACTGGTAACACCGAGCTTTGAGTAAAGTCATAAAGAAAATGTGACCCTCTCGACTAGTCAAAAGGAATATCTATGAGATTTTTGACTTTTCATAAATGATGAGAATGGCTTTCAAATTTGAAATTTCATTACCAAGAGAGCCAAAACAGAAAAAGTATGCATATATATATAGAGTTGATGAGCAGTTTGTGTTAGTCCATTGATGACTAAAGGTCAGCGTTTGTTTGTGTTCTATATATACCTTGGAATCACAGCCAGAGGCTAACATCCATTAATGAAATATTTGAATTCTGACAGTTAAGGAAAAGGAAAATCAGGTATATTTAGGTTCACACAGCAACCAGGTGGACAATCAGACATGGTTTGATGCTACTCTGGTTTAAAGATTTAATTAATGTAATCGAAATTACAATTCATCGACCCAACGTTTCGACACTCCCGTCTAATGCCTTCACCAGAAGTGATGTGATCATTGCAACAGGAGGCCCTTTTATAAGCTTACTAATTAGCTGCCGTTTTTTCTGACGAGGAGTAAATAAGCGTCATGTAGTAAGCCGCTATCATCACGATCTACGAAGCGCGGGCGGAGTTGATATGCCAAGCTTCTAAACAAAGGCGCTGGTGTTAGCGGCGATTAGTGGTGATAATTTCAGAATTATCCCAACCAATTGCATGGTTAGCTAAGCATGTGTGCTCGACAAAGCTGAATTTTCTCTTTTGCAAAAGAAGACCGCTTTCTGATGCTCTTTCAAACGTGTACCAAACTGACGTTTGGTCTGTCCGATATACTCGTGGTCACAGTCATTTGCATGGAATAGGATAAATAGCATCGGTTCGTTGTTATTTCGTAACAGGATCCTTAGGTTTGGCAAAAATATGTCCAAAAATGGAAAGGTTTTTGAGCAACTTTATCGTTGTGGCTATTGAAAATTCTCTTGATGGGTCCGTAACACCCTGGATGTAAGGAATAACAGCATAACCTGTCGTTGGTTCCCTCTCATTTGGAGTGTTACTAATTATAACTGTTTTCTGGAAGTTACGGCCGGGAGAAATGTTTTGGTATAGCCATTTAACTTAAAGACATCGGAAACATTTTTTCTCTCCTCAACCTTCAACCTTGGAATCAGGTGAAGACCGTAGACAATCAGCCCTCCTAAGTAAAGTTTTAGCTACGGACTTTTTATGGCAAATAGAGTGGTGAGAGTTGGTTCACGATAAACACTTGAATCTAATTTCCCCTGTTCCGCTCTGCACACATTTAAATCAAGAAAATGCAAGTGTCTATCCTTTTCGCGTTCAAGGGTGAATTGAATAGCCGGCTCTACTGAATTCAAATGTAATAGGAGGCGTTCCGCTTCATTTTCGGATGCTGCTGAGATGATATCATCGACATATTGTCTCCAGAGAAAGGGTTTAACCGGTCAAGTGGTTAAAGCCCTTTGTTCTACGTCTTCCATTACCTTACTGGCAATGACAGCAGAGATGGACGAACCCATAGCTGCACCAAAAACCTGTGGATAGCAGGTGCCGTTATGTACATATTGCGTGGTTTTGAGGCGAAAAGACAGCAGAAAAATGATATCCTCGGAGACAAATAAGTTCTTTGTCCTAAGGAAGCGTCTTCTCTGAGTCTCTCCTCCGCGACTTTAACGGCAAATTCAACTCGGAATTTAGTGAAGAGCGAAACAACGTAGAAAGATACCAATTATTCACAAGCGTTAAAATTTTTATCGTTTTTATGAAATCCGCAAAAGTTTCAGGAATTTTTTTACAGTGTAATCAGTATTCCCAACAACGGGCGAGAAAGTCCTCGCAAGATAAATAGAAATTGTATAAATCGGAGATTTAACAAAAGAGACGATAGGTCTCAAAGGGATTCCCAGTTTATGAAGTTTTGGTAAGCCACAAAATCGTGGACATAAGCAGTCACCACTGTATAACATTTTGTACGTATAGTCACCAATCTTACCAGCTTTTTTCAAATCAAGCAGCATTTTGTTTAAATTTCTTTGAGTTTTACTGGTAGGATCGATGAATTGTAATTTCGATTTAATTTATATTAAATCTTTCAACTAGAGTAGCATCAAACCATGCCAGGAAAATCAGGATTAATCATCAGTGATTAAATATTCTATGTTTTTTTTCATGATTTTTGAACAGGTGAGCGAACACACTGATGTAAGAAGAGTATTCAAATATTTGCTCAACCACAATCTGTTGACTGAAAATCTTAACACATCATATAGACGGTGGACTGAAAACAGACACAGAAGAAGAGAAATGGCAAATATCACATTCGCCAATGCATCACTGGAAGACCAGGGCTACGGGCCCTACATCACCACGCTATACATGTCAGCTTTCCTTCTTTCAATCTTCTCCCCCATTACAGTTGTTAGCAATACTCTCCTCTTGGTGGCAATATACAAAGATCCTTTTAAATCCTTTCGGAAACCAGTCACCTACTTTATAATAAGTTTGGCGCTTGTTGACCTGGTAACAGGTCTGATTGTTGAACCCTTCTTTGCAGTTTACTACTTCGCTTGCCATTTCTACCAGACTTTCCGTCCTGGAAAATACTTTGAATACCTGTTCAAGATAAGCACATTTCTTTCCATAATCGTGCTGAGCTCTTCGTTCTTTCTGGTCCTCGCTTTAACTACAACCCAGTATATTGCAATTACCTTCCCGCACAGATACAAGATACTATTCACCAAGAAGCGGGTTCTCGTTGCCGTGTGCTGTCATTTTGTGTACTTCGCCATCTTCAGCTCCTTGCAGTATACAAAAATACCAGCAGATGTCTATTTAAGGATAAATCTTCACCTCCATCCAACTGTCGTAGGCGTCTTACTGACTGTGGCGCACATTTTCCTGTATAAATCTTTCCGAAGGTTTTCTCAAAGGTCTAAGGCGATCCGAAAACGAAGCTCCGTGAGCCGATCCCTGAATCAGCGTTCGGAAGGGGCACATGGCAGTAAGAACGAAACAAAACATCAGAAGCAACTAACTGTTGTGGCGCTTATGTTATCCGCCCTTCTAATTTTATGTTCCTTTCCACATATTGTCGCATTTTACATTTTCCTCTATACCAAGCCAATGTCGTTCGACTTTCTGCTCAAGATCAGCATTGCACTTCGTGTGAGCGACGTTATATTGTTCTTTAAGGTTGCCCTTGATGCTTATATCTATGCATGGAGACATCCCAAATATAGGAAAGCATTGAAGGACGCATTACTGTGTTTCAGACTCCGAAAATCTGTCGTAAGAGACAGAGACACAGAGCAAGAAATGATTGCTACTGGATATTGAATTCAGTGTATGAAAGCATATTCACACTGATGTTTGCCCCGGTGTGCTGCTCAGGAAAGGTCCGAGACAGTTCTTCCAAGGATGAAGCGAAACGGTTTTCCAGCCGACCCCAATAGCACGTTTATATGTCGGAAACTATTTTTCATACCAACGTTCTGTGAAATGGAATTTATATATCAATTATAGAACAATTCGGATGCTCATGATTCTGACCTTGTTACATTATTTTAGAGGCAATACCCTTGGAAATACAAAGGGAATAGAGTGGGAGACTCGGTATTACATTCTCCTTCAATTTCACCCGACTTCGACTGTTAAGAACTAGTTTTGAAATCAGACAACATAAAAACACACCTGAAAGCTGTTTTACAGTCTATTTTTATTTTGTATTATTTTGATTTGAACTGCATCAACCCGAAATGAACTTGTTTTTCGCGAAATTTAACCTTTTCAATTTTTTATATCCACTGTTTACATTTTTTATCATTTCCATAAATTTATCAGTAAGCTTCAAATGTAATAATAATAAGATGTCTTATAGCAATAGGTGATATTGATGAAAAAAACCAGAATCACTTTCTTTATTTGCTAGGCATGTAGTCATCTTGACATCGGTATTTTTTATACAAACCTATTTATGTTAATTATACTTTGTCTTACCTTGGAAGTATATAAGAGTCTTTCATTGGGACCCATAATTTACGTGATTTATGTACACTTTCCAATTGCAAGAAGAGAGTGATCTTCGCAGTAATAAACAAAACTAAAGCAATAGTGACAATAAAGCCTGAAAAGGTCTGTTGATAAAGCCTGATTTTTTTTTCAGGTTTTATTCTCGGTATTGCTCAAGTAGTGTTAATTACTGCAAAGATCACTCCTATCTTCATTTATTAATCTGCGGTTCAAATGCATGATTTTTCATAATATTCACAGTCGTTCAATTAGTTTTCGTATTATGGAACAGTTGGAGGTAGTGTTAGTTCGGCGTTGTAAAATGGGATTGCAGTTTATAGACCTTTAAGCTTTAGCCAATAGATGAAATTACCATCCAAGTAAAATTTAACAAATTAACTTTTAATTTTATTAACTGCTGCTGCGCATTTCATGCGTTTCTTTTTTCCACCTATTTGAGGATGGGAAATAATACTTCCTATATTAAGGTCAAGGATGATATATCTTTGCATGGGTCACACGGCCATACTAAAGGATGATCAATACGCGTATGTCTCATGTCTCGAAAGTAGCCATGTACAAAGGAATTAGTTGAGTTCCGTAAGTTTGAGGTTATCTTTAGTCGTCTTCCCTGTTTCACCAGTCAGACTTTCTTTCATCTTCTGTATTTGGATGGAAAGCTTTTCCAGATTCTCCTCGAAGCCTCCAAGTTGCCTTAAGACGTTGTTTGTGTGAAACGAATTTACATCAGACGGCATTCTTTCACTTTTAGTATCTAACAAGAATGAAGTGATGATAAAAAATCAGCAAATTAACTTTTTTTCCATCATGATATTAACAAACGCATAGAAAACTAAAATGGAACTTCTGATATACTTACGAAAGGGAGCTGGCTTAGAGTACCGCTTCGCAGATTTCCAAAGGAACAATTCTACCGAGACCCCGAGAACACATAGACCGAAGAACACACCCATCAGGCTGAGTAACAAAGTACTTGTTCCTTTTGAATTGCCTGACAAAAGACCAACTGTATCCACCGATGGCTTGAAAGCCTGGAAGACAATAGGTGAACATTGCGAGAAATATTGTATGAGTGATTGAAAGTAGGTCTATCGTCCTTGCTTCAACCAGATTTCGTCACCTACAGCCATGATTCTCCTATAAAGTTCACAAAACAAGCGATCACTGTGATGAGCAATGTCTAACTCTTCGTCAAAAAAACTCAAATCCTTTATCTTCCGTGGGCAGAATTTCTCTTTACAACGCTAATGTAGTTTCAAGTAGACAAGTGATGAGAATAAAGAAAAATATTAATCAGGGGAGTGTTAGTTGTTTCAGTAAATACCAAATTCTACGAACCAACATCACTGATTAGAATTGTAAAGCAGACAGAAAGGAGAGTTACCAATCGGATCCTTGGAGTGAAAGGGTTGGGACAAGCAAATGACACAACCCCATACCTTTAACGGCGTGGTATAGCCCCTGACGTATGAACTGATTAAAGGATTCTCCAAGCGACGTTTGAAGCAGTGGTTCTTTTCAAGCAATTGACATGTTGTTTATTGCTCGAAGGCCATCTTGTATGAGATTTTGGTGGGAACTGTATGAAACACTCGAAAATTGTCATCATCGTAGAAATCATTATCGCTGTAGAAGTAATAAGCTTGGAGTCTCTCCAGGAATAGGCCTTCTACCTCTTCATTCACCATAGCAGCATGCATTTCTTCAAATTTAGGGTACGCTGAAATGCGAAACATATTTAAGTGAACTATCAGAAAAAACTTGTTATGATTTGCGTTTTGATCAGAGAAAGTTGGGTGGATTTTTTAAACGTCGCGTTGTAATTGAAAGCATTTTATGGGATGTTGTGATTAATCGAAAAGTAAATTCTAAGTTAACAGAATAAGAAAGATGGTGAATTTTGAGCTCGGTAAAGAAATAGCGAAAGGTGTTTCATTTCTTCGTCTTGTCACGAACGAGGGAAAACGACAAAAAGCTGAGTCGCCAAGAGGAATCGAACCTCATACCTTCGATTAATAATTCGGATGCTCTACCACTGAGCTATAGAAGACACTTGGTGGGCTAGGCCGTTCAATTAGGTCCATGGTGACAATCTTCTTGCGTAATGCTAGTATAGAAATTGCGATATATGTTGTTTATGCGCAATGATGACGTAATTGAAGGTGGTGAGTTTTTTCCCCATGGTCGTGAAAAGACGAAAAAACTTTTTTTGCCAAATCGAGTCATGTTGCGTGGACTTCTTCTACCTTGTAGTAATGTTACATTCGGGTTTTGTGTGCAATGCAAAGATGAAAAATGCTAAAATTCAGCAATATTGAGAAAGCATATACATGATGGTTGCATATCTGTGAAAAGAACTCGTGAAAATCAGAGGAAATGCGGCTATACTCACGACGGGGTCCTGCTCCCAGATAGGTTGCCTCGGCCTCAGCAAAGCTGCCATTAAGCACTGCCACCTTATATCAAATAAAAAGAAAACAACCAGACTGGTATGTTATCTCTATTAAAAGCCCGTTGACATCATTTGTAACATTAGCAAATCTTCGTATTCAAAACTCACCAAGAAAAGAGTTTGCGCAAGTAAGACTAGGTTATACTGATGGTAGAAGTTGTATAATTGTATCATCAATTCAAGTGAAATGTCCCAACGGTTTTTCAAAATGTGGATTTCAATCTCTAGAAATTATATGTTATTTTCCATTGCTACTCACCTCAAGCCCTTCCAGTCCATTGATAAACTCCGGCGAGGAGCTGTAAAGAAGGGCAGACGTCACTGTGGCGGTAAACATGGTGATGACGACCAAGCCTGTGAGAATCCAAAACACACCAAACAAGCGACCGAAAAAGGATCTTGGACTTTTGTCTCCATATCTAAGAGTATAAACCATGTTATCCTTTTCATCAGTCATTTACCCCATAAAATTTTCAACATGATTCAGATAAATAAAGAGGTGAGTCAATTAGTTTCTTTAAAAACGGATGTGTTTCTTGGAAGGGCTATATCTAACAACTTAGCTTTTTTAAAACTCGTTATAGCGGTTTATCTGTCTTAATCAAATTGTAATAATTTGGATATATCAACAAAGTTGAAATGGGAAATTGGCCACCGTAACGTTTACAAAAGCTGACGTTTCGAGAGTTGGCCCTTCGTAGGAGCGAATCAAATTGTAATAAAATTGGAAATGCTGATCATATTCCAGCTATATTTCCCAAGTTTAAATCATTAAATGTGAATCGTCCCTTCACTTTACAGATGGTTTTATAGCGTACATAAATGAAATGTAGTTGGGTTGCATTAACTGTGTGTACGCAGGGTGAAAATGACTGGATACGAGTCTAAAGAGTACAACAAAAGGTCCCTTTACTTTTCTGTTAACCAAAGTCTTGGCTACCATAAACAGTTATACGGCTGAGTGTTTGGTTATTTCATATGATAGTGAAATTGAAGTTTTTCCTACCCAACAGTTGTCATGCTAATAAAAGCCCACCAAAATCCATCATAAGAACCTCTTGTAAAGGACAAAGAAAATTCTTCGTTTTTCATGTGGTATTCCTGGAAAGTAAGCATTTAAGTCAATCTCATCCATTGTGAACCCAAGCAAGTTATTACATTAACTAGCTATATTTTACTATAAATGAGTGCAAAGCTGAGTTCGTTGTTTTCTAAATGTTAATTTCGATATCAATGGTAGAAGTTAGCAGTCAGTTTCATCGAGTGGCATTTAACCCTGAAACCGCGTGCCCATTGCCAGAAATTTGGGACAATATGGGAGAGGCGGTTCTCGTCTTACAAGGAAAGTGTCGCCGAAACACTTTAAGAAAATGTATGGGAAAAGATTGTTTTTTCAAAATAGCTGTCTAAGAATGGGATATTCTTTCGCTGCGTAGTTGGAAATGCAGCCTGCATCGGTTAACTCGCACATCGCTACGAAAAAGAAATACTCAAATTCAAGCCTACCTTTTCCCAAGGGATAAGGGTGAACTCATAATTCTGACTCCATTTTACCATACAAACTCTTAAAATCTGCTTCGACTAGGTGTTACATCTTTTGTCGTGGGAACAACCTTGTGAAGATTAGCAGGTGCGTAGTTCGATAGGCATTCTGCAGAAGTTTGCTCAACTAAATCGCTCGTAAACGGTCGAATATGTTGGCCCACAAATTTTCCTCGAGCCGGGAAACTCTTCATATTTTCACAGAGCTCAAAAGCGAAATAGGCCATTTTTAAATACCCCAATTTTAGGAAGGAAGAACCCGAAAGATACAAGTCCCAGTAACTGCACAATTTGGCCCCATTTTCTTTGTGTTTACGTCTCTTTTAGCTCTCTGGAATAGAAAGGTACCAGGTCTTTCCCTAGTGGGGTTTTACGAAAATAGAAAGTTACGTGTTCACTTCACTTCCACAGCCGCCATATTGAACTGTCTGTAATACGATATATATAAAGCAAGAACAGGGTCAAAATCCAGTTCCAAACAGGAACAAGCACAATAAAAGCCAGACATCGAAATAGGGACAGGCACAGCCTATTAGGAACAGGCACAGCTGATTAGGAACAGGCACAGCCGATTAGGAACAGGCACAGCCGATTAGGAATAGGCACAGCTAATTAGGGAACAGGCACAGCTTATTAGGAACAGGCACAGCTCATTAGAAACAGGTACGGCATAATAGGGACAGGCACAGCCTATTAGTAACAGGCAGAGCCTATTAGAATCAGGCACAGCTTTGCAAAGCGAGGAGCACTGGGCACCAAGATTCCCAGAAGGCCCTCTGAGAGGCAATTACAGACGGCTACTAGAATGCAGCAAGTGAGTAAATCACAAGGGGCCCACACAAGCGGCGTGTCTGGTCGCTTGTTCGAAATGTAAAGAAATTTATGGGATAATAATGAAGAGTCGTAACATCGTAAACGTTTATCAAGGAATGTCTATGTTAAGGCTCAAAGTAAATGTAAACCTATCTCACTTGCTGTGTATTGTCGTTTCTGTGGTCCTAAATGGCGAATTTGAGCGATTTGGTGGGTTTTGCCAAAACCAAAACAATTTAGAAAACAATTTTTCGCCATTTAGAGCCACAGAAACGACAATACACAGCAAGTGAGGTAGGTTTACATTAATTTTGAGCCTTAACATAGACATTCCTTGCTAAAAGTTTACGATGTTACGACTCTTCAATATTCTCCCCTACATTTCTTTATATTTCGAACAAACGACCAGACACGCCGCTTCCGTGGGCCCCCTGTGATTTAATTACTTGCTGCATTCTGGTAACCATCTTTAATTGCCTCTCAGAGGGCCTTCTGGGAATCTTGGTGCCCACTGCTCCTCGCTTTGCCAAGCTGTGCCTGTTCCTAATAGGCTGTGCCTGTTCCTAATAGGCTGTGCCTGTTCCTAATAGGCTGTGCCTGTTCCTAATAGGCCGTGCCTGTTCCTAATAGGCTGTGCCTGTTCCTAATAGGCTGTGCCTGTTCCTAATAGGATGTGCCTGTTCCCAATAGGCTGTGCATGTTCCTAATAAGCTGTGCCTGTTCCTAATAGACTATGCCTGTTCCTAATAGGCTGTGCCTGTTCCAAATAAGCTGTGCCTGTTCCTAATAGGCTGTGCCTGTTCCTAATAAGCTGTGCCTGTTCCTAATAGGCTGTCCCTGGTCCTAATAAGCTGTGCCTGTTCCTAATAAGCTGTGCCTGTTCCTAATAAGCTCTGCCTTTTCCTAATAAGCTGTGCCTGTTCCTAATAGGCTGTGCCTGTTCCTAATAGGCTGTGCATGTTCCTAATAGGCTGTGCCTGTTCCAAATAGGCTGTGCCTGTTCCTAATA